CTTTAGATAAAGAAGCTTCAGAATCACTACATAAGGATACTTCAATAGATTGTTCAGCACGATCATTAAAATTCATCATATTGAAACGATTGGTTATACAATTTGCTGACAATGATTGATCTAAATTTGAACATTGACTGTTGTTATCATCATCATCATCACCATCATCATCACCATCATCATCTTGTCTTTGATTTGCTGCATCTTCGTATTCTGGCATGTTGGTACTGTATCGTTCTTTTCTGTCACGTTCTTCGGGTACATCGCTTTTCCTTTGACTTGTATTAGTATAGTGGCCACCTCGAACTTTAGGTAAGCCTCTCTTCTGAGTATCATGAACTTTATTCCTATCATATAAATGGAACTCTTGTAAAGACGTTCCCACACGATAGTTTTTTGAAAATTCTTTCAATATGCGTCCTTTCCCAGCTGATTCGAGATGCTTTTTTATGTCGATAGATTTTTTTCATAAAGTGTTTTTTCAAGATAAGATTTTATCTTTGTAATTGCAGCATTATTTCCCGACAATTGTAACTTACCGTTTATAATATTTGCGCTATTAATACCTGCTTGTTCTCGAATTGTATTTAGGGTTTTTTGGCCAAAATTTTCAAGGAAATTATTTTTGGCAACGCTCAATTCAGTTGTATTTGATAACACTTGATCAACAAGTAACGTTCATCGACATCGAAAGTCGATTCACTAGGCCCTAGACTGACAGTGCTGAGGAGAAGAAATCCATGGACAGAACAGAAAACCGGTGGTTTGTGCCCGCAGCTTGTGCCATATTTTTAAACAGACATCTAAAGGGGGTGGGAATAAGTGTAACTGAAGTAAGAATTAGACGAAAATTAAAGGTTTCAAATAAAAGCACTAAAAGTGAAGAGGAAACACAGACAGAATGAGACTCAAAGACTCTTTAGGCGGTAGAGAGGTTGAGTCTAACCTAACTACAAAAATACAGGGTTCAGAAATATCGTGATGGTTAGCTCAGAGTTCCGTAGGGGATCAGCTCGCCCCCTCCACTGACCAAATATACAGAGCGCACTGTTTCCTGTAACCAAGTCTTGCAGCCGCCATGGTTTGTGCCGTAACAATGCCCTTGGTGCCATAAAAATAGTCATTTGTGCCATAAAAGTGGTCATTTATACCATGAGAAATGGTCATTTATGCCACAGGAATGGTCATTTGTGCCATAGAAATGGTCATTTGTGCCACTCAAATGGTCGTTTGTACCACAGAAATGGTCATTTGTGCCACAGGAATGGTCAATTGTGCCATAGAAATGGTCATTTGTGCCACTCAAATGATCAATTGTGCCACTCAAATGGTCAATTGTGCCACTCAAATGGTCGATTGTACCATTCAAATGGTCGATTGTGCCATGAATATGGTCATTTGTGCCACTCAAATAGTCATTTTTGCCACAGAAATGGTCGTTTGTGCCATTGTTACAGACAGACAGACAGACAGACAGACGGACAGACAGACACAGGTGAATTACGGTTTCTAGACTCTAGCCTTTCAGTCTAGGGAATAGGAGCACTAGGCTGCGGTGGAGGGTATCCAGAGGATAGTTTAATAATTTTACCTTCAATTTGTACTCTTGACGTCTTAACGGCTGTTTTCTTTCCATTAATGATTACCATTCCATGAGTTTCGTTCATAATAATGATGACATGCTGGGAACGTTCGAGGTTCTTAACAAATCCTTGAAACTCTGAATTTCGTATTATGTCTATAGTAACCTCGAAACTTATTGTTTCAGTCAATTGTGATGAGATTGAATGATCACCATTATTGCCTGCCATTAAATTCGATTGATCTATAGGAGAAAAACAATTGTTCAAAAACTTAAGAGACGCTTCATAAGAGGACCAAGAATAGGAATTTGCCGAGACTGAGAGGTTCAAGCTTGTTATATCCCTACTTAAATGGGAATATCGTAGAATATTGCGACAAGTTGCCAAATACAAAAAGTAGCATTTTACTCGTAAGTAAAACTTCATACCATTTTATTACACTTCACGAAATTTTGTGAGATCTTTCAAGATTTCATAAGTCTTCAAGAGACTTGGAGATTTCATGAATATCAATGAACCTCAGAAGTTACATGAAATTTATTAACATGGAACAAACAATACCTATTATATGGGCATTAAAAAAGAATTTCTCGTTTAAAATCCTTCCTCGTCGTACACCTGTAATTGAAAATATGATTTGAGACATCGCAGATATTTTGTGTATTTGATACAGAACTTAATCGTCACATACGATTAATTTTATCTAGTATATGAATATTAAAAGTCTAAAACCATTATGCTTCACATACCTCTTCGAGGCTTTAGTAAGATGAGTTGTGTGGATACCTTTTTTTATGTTGGGCTAGAGAGAATACATCCTATTCCGCAATGTTGAACATTCCGGAACCAATTCGATCTAATTCCGGCGATTCCGTTTACCACTCACAACACAATTCCGGAATTCCGGGAATCACTTTCCACACAATTCCGGAATTCCGGGAATCGCTGGTTACCAATTCCATCAAATTCCCGGAATTCCGTTTATCCTTTCCGACTGAATTCCGGAACTCCGAGGATCGCTGCATACCAATTCCATCTATTTCCCCAAACTCCGTGCGATTCCGGAATTGAGTGATCATTGGATAATCGATACGACTTACAGCTTGGTGATGAATGCAATTCCGGTACGGAATTCAGGGAATTAGGTCGAACCGGAATTGAGCGGAATCGAACGGAATTACATGGACTTCCTAGGAATTCCGTCTAATTCCCAACGATTCCGTACAGACCTAATTCCGGAATTCCGTACCGGAATCGGATCATGACTACATTGATAAGCGAAGATGGAATAGTTATAGAAGTTGTAGTTCCGGAATTGGACGGAATTCTGAGTGATTCCGGTTTCACCTAATATCGGACTTTGACTGAATTCCATGGAATTCCGGGAATCGTACAATCTGATTTCGTTGAATTCCGGGAATCGGACAGTCCGATTCTGTGGAATTCCGGGAATTGGACAATGTTCATGTTTGACCTAGTTCCGGAATTGACGGAACTCATTCCGGGGGCGGAACTGGTTTCGGAATGTTCAACATTGCGGAATAGGATGACTGCTCGGGCTAGACATGTGTATACCTTTATAGCTGCAAACATAAATGTGTCAATAATGCTAAGGTGTAAAAGTTGTATAACCCTTACCACGGTGAGAAAGTTTTCTTTTCTTTCCACGAAAAGTCGATTTCTTTATCAAAGAAAAATTATAGAATAAAAGCAGATAAAGTGTTCCTACTTTGAAAATACTCTGTGTCCAATTCTTTCACGTTTTCTTCTCCAGATTCGTAATGGAAAATCTTCGATTCACTTACGCAAGAAGTAGCTATTATTCATGCTTAATTTTCACTCGATAAAAGAGATGCAATTTATTACATCGACAATGAATTGCAACTATTTTAGTTTAACAAGTAGAGAATGTCTTTAACAAAAAATTTCTTTTTTTCAGTTGTTCGTTCGTATCTGTTCGCAACAAAGTCAATAAAAATCATGAGATAAAGAAGATTTTCTCTTACTTTGATATCAACAAACGTTGACTTCACTTCCGTAGTATATATCAGGTAGTATACGCTTGAAAATATGAAAAAACAGATTTTATTTAAAACCGTCCTCTGCTTGCTGAAGTTACAGAGTAATAATTCAATTACTCGTTCTAATTTATGCACATAAAGGTATCCGTAGATTCAACCATTTGAGACCTCAAAAAGTTTGAAAAGCTTTCTTTCTCGCTTCCTTGAAAACCGATCCCCAAAATATTCGAAACTAAGGTCAAATAATCATTGACTAGGTATGTGAAAAAATGCTTTTCCCCGAAGTCTCGTGCCGTCCCCCTCCTCGGGTGTCTAGAGGGGCGAAAAATCACACTCGCCGTTCTATCTTCGATGGAG